CGGCGGCCCGCAGATGGTGGAGTCCACTTTGGTACCCGGGCAATTTAGGGTTTGGGGCTTAGGGTTTAGGGCTTAGGGTTTTGGGTTTTGGGTTTAGGGTTTAGGGGTTTAGGGTTTAGGGTTTAGGGCAATTCAGGGGTCAGAGCGGGATGGATAGTTTCTGCAAGTGTATGCTGGTGGTTCTGCTCGTGGTGGTCGCAGTGGTGGTGGTGGTGGTGGTGGTGGTGGTGGTGGTGGTGGCGGTGGCGGCGGCGGTGGTGGTGGTGGTGGTGGTGGTAGTGGTGGTGGTTGTGGCCGTGATCGTCATCATCGTCAACTTGATGGCCATCCATGATCGCCGCAGCCATTCAGTTCGTGACCATCATTCTCGGGATCTTCATCGCCACAATCATCACAGTATCGCCGTCACGCCCACGCCAAGCGTTAGAAGAGCTGAAGCATGTACTGCGCCGGTAGTGTGTTCCCAGTCTGGGGGCTTCCTCACCTGCGGAACCAGCGGTGCACTGTAATTTACAAAATTCTTTTGCATTCCGGAAGTCCATAAAGATATGCCGCAACCATCCAGTCGTCGTTGTCTTCGTAGTAGTCGAGCAGTCCTAGTACTAAATATATTTCCACATCCAAAGTACCCCCAATCTCCAAAGCACTGGAATCCTATTTCAACCCTAAACCCTAAACCCTAGACCCTAAATCCCAAACCCTAAACCCCCAGGCTCTTGCACCTGAACCCCTGAACTCAAATCTTAAACCCCTGGGTTTAGGGTTTAGGGTTTAAGTTTAGGGCCCGGAACCTCATACTCCCTCAGATTCGAGGCTGGTATCCGGCCTTGGACTGGCAAGCATGGGGAGCAACGCGCGATCCGTGGAGCACCCTGTCTTCCCGGAGAACCCAATACCCCTTAATTACGGAATAGACCTTAAATCACAATATGAAGGCCCTTATAATTTAAGGTATATTCCTTAATTAAGGGGTATTGGGTTCTCTAGGTTGTGAATTTCAAGAGTTTTGGGTCTCAGAGTGGAGGCTTCAAGATTTACGGCTAAAGCTCGGGGTGTATATGGTTGTTTCCTGGACCCCAAAAGTATGTAGAATAATAGCCTTTTATAGGTTTTGGGCCACTATTGTACATACTTTTGGGGGTTTAGGTGGGGTTTCAGGGTTCAGGAGGGCCATTTGCAGACTAAAGACGTGCTTCTTCGGTTCAGGGTGTAGCATGTTTTACCGGCGCAGTGTGCTGCGGTTGAGGACGAAGAGCCCTCAATGACTTGGGGTTTGTTTTCGAGCTTTCGTGCCGAGAGATTTCGGCCGAAACCCTAAATCCAAAACCGTAAACACTAGATCCTTTTGAACTGAGACGCTGTGATTGCGGGCGAGTGTTTGATGATGTGTCTAAAGTTGTTTGTTGATTTCAACCTGAAACAAGTAAAACAAAGTCCTTTTTCTAATGTGGGGGGATTCTATGGGCAGGTGGGGTTTATTCTTGAGAATAACTTGAAAGGAAATTGTCAAAGTCAGGGCTGCTGAACCCTAAACCCTAAACCCTAAATCCTGAACCCTAAACCTTAAACCCTAAACCCTAAACCCTCAATCCTTAACCGTGGTGGCAGACTCTCGGGGGTGAGGGACCAGAAGCTAAAAGAGATCTCAGAGGTCTTTACAAGCACCCTAAGGTATTGGCCTTTCCTGGACCCCCCAAAGTATGTAGGTTTGATGGATTTTTATGGGTTGTGGGCCATAGTTTTACCTACCTTTCAGGGGTTCGGTAAGAATTAATAGGGTTATGGGGATTCCTTATTCTATTTGTAGTAGAATATACCCCCAAATCCTATTCTAATTGTTCAGAGCCCCATATTAAGCCCCATAAACCCTGAAAAAACCTTATGAGCCGTCTTGAAGTTTCAAGGATCAGCGCCTTCGCAACGGGTGCGAAGTGGGGATCGGCGCTGCAGCTGTTCTGCCAGACTCTTGAGGCTTTGCAAGCGGGTGGTGGTTTTAGAAGGTACACAAGGCTTGCAAGCTGCTCTTTGAGGTGTTGTATTTTGTGGAGGGCTTTGGCTGTAGGGTTTTCAAGCGTTTGGGGTTTCCGAGGGCTGTAATTGTTGGTTGTTTTAAGAGATTTCTTGACTCGTTTCGGGATGTCTTTCTTTGGACTCTTGGGTTCATTAGGGCTTACCTGTAGCCGAGAAAAACTTTTTTTTTCGAGTTGCTTCTTATGATTTCCTTATAGTAGAAGGCCTTAGACAGGTAATTAGGTCTTTCTTAAGTTCTTTCGGTTTAGGGCTTACTTGCAGCCGAAGAGACCTGCCTGTTTAGGGTTCAGTATTATGGTTTCTGTTTGTTTCCGTATTGAACTCCTTGAAGCAAGCAGGTTTTTTTGGGTTACAGGTAGGGCAGGGTTTCCGCCGACTTGGAACATCAGCTGATACTGCAGTGCTATAGTGCTACAGGTCTTTTCACGAGGTGCCGTTCTTGCTAAATCCTAAAATCCTTAAGGGTGCATGTGCACTCATGCGGTAAATACGCTGACTCTGGCATTACGGCAGTCCCTCAAGAGGTACTTCAGGCCGAAGTATATACCATATGGGTACATGGACCATACGGGAAACCTCTTAGATCCCTTAAAGGAACCCTTAAAGGCACCCTCCTAGATTTTTTTAAGCAAACCCTTGAAAGAACCCTCTTAGATCCCTTCAAGGATCCCTGAAAGGAGACCGTAAAGGCGTCCTCTTAGATTCCTTAGACAAGTCCTGAGGTAATCCTCAACGGAGTCCTGTTAGATCCCTTACAGGAACCCACAGAACCCAATACCCCTTAATTAAGGCATATACTTTAAATTATAGTATTAAGGCCCCTATAATTTAAGCCATCTTCCTTGATTAAGGGGGTATTGGGCTCTCTGGGGAATCGTTAATGGGGACACCTTAAAGGAATCCTCGACGAACCCTTATTAACCCGAAACCCTAAAAGGGGTTTAGGGTTTAGGGCTTTAGGGTTTGGGGGTTTAGGGTTCAGGGTTTTGGGATTTAGGGCTTTAGGGTTTTGGGTCGTAGGGTGTTTCTTAAGCCCCAAGCAAATCAAGACGACCAACGACAGGCGGGGCTCCAGCCACAATGGATGGAAATCAGCGCTGCCATGTCTGCATGTCGCGTGGATGTTGATACTGTAGCTGTGCTTGGCAGGGGTATGGTCGCCATTGTCTTTCGTCTTGTTTCAGGTCATGCCTTTGTCATAACGGGCCCCCACCGAACCCGAACCACAACCCCAACATCCCCCATCCTGAAAAATGAATCCGAACCCGAACCCAAACCGAAACCTCCCCCCCCTCCCCCCCCCCCTTAAACCTTAAACCCTAAACCCTAAACCCCCCAAAGAAAAGCGCGAACTTCGGACCCTCCCTCCAACCTCATAGGGTTTAGGGTTGAGGGTTTAGGGTTTAGGGTTTAGGGTTTAGGGTTGACGGCTGCATAACGAGCATTTGGTCTTCACACTCATCCGAACCCCTTGGACTGTGGAGAAAGACTTTCGGACGTCGGGCATGAAGGGTCTGTGCATGCGACTGCGCTACATGTAACCTACTATGTCCTTGGCGGTTTAGGGTTTTGCAGATGGGCAAGGTCACAAACCCTAAACCCTAAACCCTAAACCCCTAAACCCCTAAAACCCTAAACCCCTAAAGCCCTAAACCCTAAACCCTAAACCCCTATTTCCCTAAACCCTAGGTCCGTACCTATTGTTTGTCAGGTTCGGGCTACAGGCTACACAGGTAGGGTGTAGTGATCGGCTTGCTGGTCGCGGGCTCGTAGTGTGGGGATCCTGTCCCAAAGGGTCCAAGTACTAGTATAGTCTATACTTTTGGGGCCCAAATACCTACTAAGTACCTACTATAATGGTACTTGGACCCTTTGGGTGCGTTTTGAGGCGGAGTTCGCAGGGTTTGAGGATCGCGGTGAGGCAACAAAGGATGCACACAGAGAACCCAATACTTCTTAATTAAGGAATATACCTTAAGATATAGGGGCCTTAAAGTTTAAGATTTAAGGTACATTCCTTAATTAAGGGGTACTGGGTTCTCTGGGTATGCCGGTCATGATGAGTTACATCCATTTCTTGGAGGCATGATGGTATAGCTGGCATCGTGGGCTTTCCAGGTAGTTACACCTTCTGCATGTTCTGGGCGTTCTGCGGTATCTTAAGGTGTCTAAAAGCTTTAGACCTGGAGTTGGGAGTCGGATCTCGGGTGCTGAATCGGTCGGAGGCTCTGAGATCTAGCCTTCGATGGTACTCAGAACGGCGGGCTCTGCCTACCTATCCCTAACCCTCCAGGTACCTACTATGTAGGGCCCTAGGGGCTCTAGTACCCTATATAGTAGGTACCTGGGGGTTAGGGTATAGTCCACATATTCGTTCCTTTTCTAGTTTGCAGCTATTATGGTTAGGATCCTGTAATATCAAGCCAGTTAACCAAAATTGGGAATCACATTGGAGACTGCAGGTAGCCCTAAACCCTAAACCCTAAACCCTAAACCCTAAACCTTAAACCCTAAACCCTAAACTCTAAACCCTAAACCTAGAACTTCGGGCTCGAATGCCTTCGACAATCCCAAACATGAAAGATCTGAGAGCGCCTTGTCATCGTCAAGGTGACTCCGGTCCTCAGTGGCCACTTGCGGTGAAGATGCTTCCTGCCGGCAGTGCATGGGAGCATTTTTAGGCTTTAGGTCTTAAGAGGTTTAGGGTTTAGGTCTTGTTGCCTTTGTGTGAACCTTAAGCCCTACGTAGAGCCCGAAAGCCCTACAATCCTAAATCCCAAATCCCAAACCCACTAGTATAGAGGCCTTTAAAAGACCTACCAATATTCTCCCTTAGCGTATAACCCTACTGCAATACCACCCTCCAAAAACCAAAACAAATTTGTGCCAATCGTGAAGGCACCTATAACCGATACAAAGCCCTTCCCCGTCCCCGCCTCTTCCATGGGACTTAGAAATTGAGGCGATAATTAAGGTAACTACAGTTAGAGCCACTATTAACCCCAATAAAGGTACAATAAAGGTACTTTATATCCCTAGTTGCTACAGTAAGTCCTATGATCCCCCAAGTAGTTAACTTAGTAGGGCTCCTATATCACCCAAAGTCTCCTATGTACCCTTATAGTAGACAGTAGGGTTGTTTTTTTAGGAGTTGCTATGATGATTTGGGGAAGTATCCCCCAGAACAGTCCCTAAGGCTCCGTGTACCCATACAGTTTACGCTTAGGCCTGAAAGTACCCATATCTTTGTCATGGTTGGGTAACATTTTACATTTTTAAGGGTACTTAAACCCAATAAGGAATATAAATTTAAATTTTTAATACTACCCCAACCATGAACTAGATATAGGAACCCCTTCAAGGCCTAAGTATCTACTAATATGGGCACATGGAGCCTCAGGGAGTACATACTTGGAGGGTCGGGAGACTTAGTAAGTAGGTAATAAGTAGACTTATAAGTACCCTAAAAGGGACCCTAATTGGGGTTATAGTACTTATAAGTCTATGAAATAACCATTTACTAAGTCCCCCGACCCTC